TTTAATTTATATACACATATCCAGTACTGCAATTAACTATATATAAAAATTATTTATTTCTCCTATTTTAAACGACATTTTTGTGCACTTTTATTATACTCTTTTTATCATATACTAAAATATTACATTTATTATTACAAATACATATATGTACGATTTAATAAATATAATATTTTAATAGATTTATATTTTGTGCATATATCGTTAAAAAATAAAAGTATAATAAACACAAAAAATGATTTTTATATATAATAATTGAGATATAATTTCAGTGTGTCAGAGTGGAGCAAAGTGTAATCAAGTGTAAATGCAATGAACAGTCTCCTTCTCCCCCCACCCCAACCCTCCTCCTCCCACGTGATAGCCAGTTTCGCGCGTTTTCTCACATCAGTCTCGGTCCACCGCGCGCGGGTTTTGATTCGCGTCTCGTGTCGTTGCTGGGACGGTTGGCGTGGCGGCTTATCGCGTTTGCGACTAACGAATTCGACAAACGGCCGGTTGTTTCGTATCACGAGGCATGAGTGCTCGGTGCGTCCGGAGACGTGACACGTACATAAACGTTTGCCATCGTCACGAAGTGAGTGTTATTGTTGGTTATTTCGCGGGAAAATAACCATTGTCGCGACATCGTCGAGCACCGTGTCCAAGTAAATTAGTCTCAATTTATTTGTTAAGGTGAAGTGATGTGCGGAAGTTCCCGATCTTATCGAGCTCTCTTTAAAAAGAGTCCTGTTTGCAGTTCATAAACACGTACGTATGACTTTTCTACTCGATTGACGTTTCTCCACTTTTCCCGCGCTTTTGAGGGTTATAAAAGTAAATGTGTCGAAAAAATGGCATATTTTCTCACGCGATTTACATAGCTTTAAAGAACCAATGTTTGGCGTTTTTCTGACGATTCGAGAGTACATCGAGAGGGCATAATAACGACGTTATTTATCTCCAGTTGTAGTACTCAATTACTCTTGATCATAACAGTGACACTCAGTCAACAATCTGGTTATGGATTTCAAGGGTACAAGTAAATAACGTGGAACAATTCTTTGACAGTGTAGTTCGAATAGATTTTATGTCATTTATCAATATTTCGACAAGATATTTAATGTTAAAGATGTAAAATCTTGCAATATATTATTTTCAACATTATATATATATACATTTACAATTTTTAATTAGTGATTTTCAAAAGATCGTTCGATTTGATTTGAGAAATTTTTTGTCGGTACCTACTATGAAAGAAAATTATCGATATACTTATATACAGTATGTTTCACAATTAATGACCTTAATTTTAAATCCTCTTCGCTTATATAATTTCAAAAATCTCTGTCATTTTTTTCATAAGAAGTAATTTTTCATATTAAGAAGATATCGAATCCAAAATTCTCGCGAAATCTGTCATTAGAAAAATATGAGGCTGGAATTGCGATACATCTTGTATATCTTCGAGGTCACAGAGAAGTCCTGCAACAGCTTCCGAGAAACGTTGCTCATCCGGAAGTCGGCTTCAACGGTTTCGACAATGAGAAAACGCGGGTGTTTTTTATCTTGCAGGATACATCCATGTGATCGTATTGTTAACAACAATTGACAATGGCAAAAGTAAACGTACACTGCAAAAAAAACTATTGAATTCAAATAAATATTTATTTTAATATTTTTCTTTCCACATTGATTTGAAACAAATATAAATATGTATCTGTTTTAGGAGAAAAAGGATTTTCTTGATATCAAATAAATCAATATTATTAGTTTCAAATAAATGATGTATAAAAGAGTATCGAAATAAATATTTATTTGAATAATTAAATATTTTTTAAATAAATTTTTTCAGTATATTATAAAAATTTGTCTTCATACAATTGTTGTTGTAATAAACTGTTTTAATTGTTTATTCTTATTCTCTCGAAGGTATTATTTTCGAGCAAGAAAACATAAATTTGAATGTACAAATATTTATTCAATTATATTATTAGATTGTCTATTTGACGTGTGTAACACGATTAGGATACAATATATTTTAACTAGATTCTATTACAAGAATTCCTATATTAATTCTCTCATTTTCAGTAAAACAATTAAAACAGATATAATCAGTGGCTTGTAACAAAAAAGGTCACATGTATAGCAGATCTTACTATTCAATAGACTCACATAAACATATATATGCTGCTTTTATATCTAAAATCACTCTTCTTGAAAACTATGCAATCAGAAATATGTGTTCCGTATTTTTTACTTGTTCTTTTAGCATTATCACTGTAATTATGATTCTTTCAAAACACAAATATTAAATAAAAATAAAGAAAAATCTTTTTCGCGGTTAAAAAATTCAGTAATGGCACTACAATAACTGGACACTTTTTAAATATATACATATAATATTAGTAACTATAATTATATTATTTATATTAAAAAAGGAGTTTTTTTTTATCATTTATAAATAAATAAATAAATAAGTATATAAATATATAATACATATATATTTTTTCTTTATAAACAATAAAAAGAGATTTCTCTCTTTTTAGTATAAATATATAACATAATTACAGAGTTATAAATATACATACATGTATATAGAGAAACTTTTACAATAATACTGATAATTCAATTTCATGAAAACTTTATTTATTCTCGACACCTCGTTGTGTAATTAATTTTATTCCGAACTTGACAATTAATCTTGATACTGATAACAATCATTATCATATTGACAAATATCACCAATTTATCAGTATGATAACTATCAAATATGTTGAAATAATCAAGTAATGAGATGTCAATTGTATTATTTAGCGTATAATCATCACCTTCGACTGGATCACGAGAGATCGCTAAAGGCCTCGACGTTCTTCGCGAGACGTCAACAACGTTTCGCGCTCAATTCATCAGGTAACATCGATTCATCGAGACATCGCGTTTCATTTGCCACGCAATTCGGCTCGTCGAATTACAAGAGAACGATTTGCGCTGTCACATAAAATCCACGCAAAGTAACATCGTCGTAATCATCGAGATGGAAGGAAGATCCTCTCTCAGAGAGCTCGGCGAGAGATCAATCGGAATGGAAGTGTCGCCGATGTCGAGCATCGTCAACGACCTGTCTAAATCGGTACTCAACTCTGGCAATAAACGTTATCATCAACGTTCGAGAGGTGAGTCACAATTATTGTGAGAGATGTTATTAGGTTGACGCGAGAGAAAGACTTGTCGGATAAATCGAAGAATTTTATATTTATTTTAATTTCTATTTTAATTTTGATATACAATTATTATAAATTATTATTATAAATTGAAGAATTTTATATTTAATTTAACTTCTATTTTAATTTTGAAACACAGTCCTTTTCATTCAACAAAATTCGATGCTCGATGAAAATATTTGGATCGATATAATTAATATTTAAAACAGAACTTGGTAGAAAAACGCGCGATTCTTTCATGTCAACTTGATATACATATATATTATTGTTAATGTAGAAATGATTGTTATGTCAGGTTATAAAAGTGTACGCGCAAATGATGATTAAGATCATGAGCGTCTGCAGGGGGTGGCAAGAGGGGGTATTTGCCCTCCCTCTTGGAATTAGTAAAAAAATTAAGCAATTGTTCTTTTTTTAGTAGTAACCTAAATTTATTTGCATATTTAATATAAAAAGATAAAATAAAAAAATTAAATTTAAAAAGGAAAGAACAAAAGATAAAAAAATTGTAATCGTGTTCCCTCCTGGAAAAATTCTGCGGACACTCATGATTAAGATATATTGCATAATATAAAAGATATGAAAATAATAATAAATCAGAAAAATTCGAGTAATTACAAATAAACATGTTAATCGAAATGAAATTCGGAATGCAGACTAATTAGCATTCGAACTATATAATAACTGACAATTCTGCTAATACTAGTAATTTACAATTTTAACGGATTTCTTTTTTCGTAATAATGGGCGGAGAACGTCGAGTTAATTATGGACAAAATGAATATTGATTGAGCGGAACGTGAGAGAGAGAGCCCGGTGGCGCGTTCGGGAAGGAATTAGGCGGGTTACTCGCTAGGGATTTCCCCGTCCTTCAACGATCTGTGAACGTCTGCCGTCGGTCTGAACCCTGCGAACCGAGTTCGCAGCCTCAGATGTCAGTGTTTCTCATTCGGGTCCGCTCCTGCTTATTTTTTCCGTATATGCGTCTTTTTTATATTAATCTCGTCAAGCATATCTAAAACATTTACATTATTATCACCATATAATTGCACATATATCCTATATGCTATTATTATATTATTTACTTAATTCGAGGGGAGCACCTCACTAAAAAATGCATGCAAAAATGCGTCCTGCGTTTGATTGAATATCGATTAAAAATGAACAGTGGTTTCGCAAGTCTCTGCTAAAATCATTCATTACTTTTGAATAATGATGATATTGAATTAATCGATCGATTGAGCACCCTCTCACGAGGCAAGTAGCTCGTGCCGAGGGTTACGGGGACCAGGTGCTCACCTGCTCCTTGTTGGGTGGCTGGTTAGACTTGGCGCCCCCTTTTATTCATGCCCTCGGTAAAGTCCCATGGAGGTTCGCATCGCGAATGAACGGCTGCCTCTGTCGGGGCACTATATATACGCGAAAAAGAACAGAACCTACGAGGAGGATGCTTACGGTACTTTAGGACCGCTATATTGAGATATCGATAGTCGGACTTTTCCCTCCGATCAGTATCGATGCATTATCCGAATATAAAGTGATACCTGTTAGGAGCCACTTTGGAGATGTATAATTAAGATTTCATTTGATTTGTTAATATATATTTTTACTTACACAAAATCACAACGTCAAGTCAATTTCAAGAAATATTAATATTTTAATTATTAATGATCAATTATCGTAATTTTATTTATTTGATTATATTGATCCCTAATTTTATATTTCAAGAAAATATCAATTGATTATAGATTACTTCATTCATATAATATATATGCAAATTTATTTTTATGTCAAGATAAGATACATCAGTACTATTTACATTTCGAATAATTTTATATTTCTATTATTTTTATTTTTATTAATGATCAATTATCGTCATTCTATTTTACTTTAATTATATCGATCCCTACTTTTAAATTTAAAGAAAAGAACAATTGATTATTGATAATTTTATTCATATAATATATGTAAGTTCATTTTTATATCAAGAGATAAGATGATTAGATAGAGATAAGATACATCAGTATAATTATTTACATTTCGAATAATTTTCTAATTTCTTTAATTTATATCGTGATGGTACTTCGGTTTAATCCGCACTTACAATTAGCGAAAACAATTATTTAAATGATATTACTAATGATTTGTACCTAACACGAATGAACCGTGTACTCGTATCTGATAAAGTTTGAGTACACATTTAAATACACTCTGCATGCACCGATACTGACCTACCCTCGTTAGACGTCAACACATTGAGAGACCGTTAAGAATACAGCTGTCTCGCGCGAAAGACTTAGGGTCCCTGTTTCTTTCTCCCTTTAACGCCGCGTTTACCTCGAAGGGTGACTGACCGATCCTGTTCTTCTGTCTTATTTGCTTAATTAATGCGATGTCTCGCGCGTTCGGTATTCCGATGAGGCGATAAAAGCGGACGCTTATAAATTGCGCGAGAATCTAATTGTTTTACATTTCACTTTTCACTCTTTGTCAAACGTATAAAAGATATACGATAAACGACTGTGATTTATTATTTTTGTTACACGACTTCTCATTCGTAATGCTGTTCTTTAATGATAAAAAGTAATGAGAAGGAAATTTCAATACTTGGACATTCAATTTTTAATAAGATCTTTTTATTCAGACGGAAGTAATTCGAGAATTTTAATATATTTGTTATATTTTTTTACATCATTTTTTATATATGAAATTATATTATATATTATATATAATTATGTATTATTATGGTATATAATATTATTTTATATATGTATATAATTTGATATATATGATTTTTATATGGAAACTTTCCTAAAGTCTTAAGCATACACATATAAGAATATATATGTCTACATTATTTATATATTATATATATACTAAAAAAATTTATTGAATTGATATAAAGATTCTTTTCAAAACAGATAAATATTTGTTTCAAATAAATGATTTAAAAGGCAGTATTGAAATAAATATTTATTAATTTAATAATTTTTTTTCAATGTATATAATATGCATATATATACATTATATGTACATATACAATGTAGACATTGTACATATTTTTATGGAACATATATTATATTTTTTCCCCTTTCCATATGAAGAAGCCATATAGGCTGTGTGTGATAACCGGAATAATCGATAGGACATTTACATGTTAAATAGGAGTTCAGCTGGAATAAAACCGCATTATACCGCGTTATATAGTCGGATTAAGAGAGAAAGAAAGAGACGATCGCAACGGAAAACGCGACGTTTCCTACATTTCTTTCGCGGCTGGAGAAATTTAACAAACGTTATCGTCGCCGCGCCGGTTGCGAATGTAATAATCGCGCAGCGAAGTGTTTCGCCGCCACATGGCGCACTCCGTTCTCGTCCGTTGCCTTGAAAGTCCGTTGTACGAGGGGTACGATACAGGCGATGGGGCCCAGGGCACCCCTATATATGAACATACATATATACACATACACACGCACGTTCTAATATCCTATGTACATCTGTGTGTGCCCCCGATAGTCAGACACCGTAGATAGATATACGGTCGATGCCATACGCCATAAGCGTGCCGCTCGCGTGCAAATTAGGTAAATTACCCCGTGGACGCGTATCGTCTTAAGGCGACGAGCGCGATATTTACGCGCGACACTCGCTTCTTAAGCTTATGCGAATATTCCGAGCTGCTGTCGGCTAGAAGTTATGCGATGATAATAAACTGAATATATTATGGGAGAGCTCTGATGTTTAATTATATCGTGCAACATGCTTCTTTTTTTCTACAGCCTTACTCCGATTAATTTGATTCAACCGATAGAATTGTGCTTACACAGCAAAATTACCAGTTACGTATCATACTTACGTCTGTTTCTTATATATTATCTTCACTTTCATACGTCAGATGAGACTGATGTATAAAGAGAAATTAAAAGAATTATAGGTGAGTTGTTGTCTATTCTTCACAAACTAACAAGGGACATGTCACAACTGTCCGGAACCGATTTGATTCTCCTTGAAATATGTTGTTAAATACACAAATCTAAAAGACACGTATTTTTTTATACGTGCGCAATTTGAGTTTTAAGGGGTGAAACACCCCTTTAAAGAATAACGGTATTTTTCTTTAGGATCAAATATCTGCTAAACTATAAGAGATATAAAGAAAAAACGTACAACAAATTTTAATGGCTTGAAGAGTACTTTAAAGTTATATGAACAAAAATTTTTTTTTTTTTTTTTTTTTTAAAAAACCCTCACCACCTAATTTTTTTTTTCAAAATTAAAAATTTTGTTTTACCTAATTTAAAGCTTATTTTTTTCCAAATTCAACCATGTGTAATAAAGTTATGTTACGAAATATCATTTTCGAAAATTAATTATAAACGCTCCCGTATATACGCTCATCCGTGCTATGTGCGTAAGTAATTACCGTCGAACAATAAAATATATAAAAAATGTTTTTGTATAATTCTTATTTATGTTTTCTATGTATTTATAACTGTGTATTGTGTATATTTAGATTTTTTTAAAAATGTATTTGCATTTTATATTATTCACTCATTATACACATTACAATAATGATATTCGACAAAAAAATGTTTCAAACATAATGACTTCTTGCACCAAGAACATCTTACTACAGCTATATTATTGCAACCTTCGATATCACATTTTGTTAAAGTTTCGTCTAAACTAAAGTGTACTGGATTTTCGAATTCGTCTGGTCTTTCATTCGTATAACCACTTTTAAACCACGAATATTTAAATAAGTTTTGATATCGTGGGGATGACAATTGATTATGTATCAAAGATTGCAATTTTATTATATTATTTCGTTCATGTAAGTTTATATTACTTTCCAACAGTAAAACCGCATCTGAAAATCTTTTAGCAAAATTTTTCCAAATTCTGAATCCATAAACATCTAATGGTTGTATTTTCCCTGTAGTTCCTTTCGGTATTATCATAGTAGTAATATGTGTTCCAGGAGGTGTTAAATCCGAAATCATATTGGGGCAATGTCCAGTCCATGAATCGATAAGAAGAACGCTATTAGGACCAATGTTTGCGAAATAAGCTTCTTCTAACCACATTTTAAAATGATCTGTACAAAATATAAATGTTAATTTAATAGTTTTTTTATGACTCTTATTAAATTGTTAAATAAAATAAGGTTGTTAAAAAAAGTAATTATAAAAGGAAAATACCTGATGTCATTTTACCAGATTTCGATGCTTTTACAATAACATTTTCTGCTTTAAATAAATTTTCTTGTACTCTTGGTCCAAATTTACCATTAGCTTCTTTTAATACAATAAATAAAGGGGACAACAAATTGCCATTACAGGATATTATTGGTTGTATCGTATATGAATGGGTTGTTGATGATATGGATTGCACGACACGTTCTACTTTCTTTTCTCCCTGGTTAGACAATGATCTTCCAGAGTGAAGTTCCAATTGGAAACCACTTTGATCTGAATTGTAAATATTTTCAGATCCAAACTGTTCAATAAGAGGTTTTACTGTTTCCAGAAAATCATCAGCTGATTTTTGCAAATCAGCAGAATCTTCTAATGTTCTTCTAGTGACAAACTTCGTAACTTTTCTTGAAACAATTCGGTGAGACTTCTTAAATCTTGCTATCCAACTGTGAGATGCTTTAAATATAGGATTTAAATTTCCTATTTCTTCTTGAGCTTGTAAAGCCCATCTTTTTAAATCAATATCATGAACCATGAATCCTGATTCGACAGCTGCAGTAAATTTATCATGTGTAAATTTGGAGATGTAAGATAATTTTTCTGTACGACTTCCACCTGATTGTATTTGTTCTTCCCATCGCCTTAACTGACGTTCAGATGAAACTCTTCTAAATTTATTTTGTACTACTCTTAGAGGACGATTCCTTTTTCTGTCATTACTGTTTTCATCAGTGTCCCGAAATCGCCAATACTCAACAGCTCGTCTTTTATAAGAACTATCAAAATTTGTATCATCATTTGAACAATGAGGATGAGAATTTAAACTATCTTCATGCCATGCTTCTTCGTCATCTTCAATTATTTCAAAACTATGTAATTTATAAGGTTCTTCATAATCGAGATATATTTCTTCCGTTACTTCCACCCCATTATAATGAAAAACGCTATCCAGTAATATTTTTTTAATGTTTTCCTTTAATTCCACTTCTGCTTCAGTTACTGGCGTTTCTGTTAAATATATTGAATTTATTGACACCAATAAAAGTCTAACAACGTTAAGCGGATTGATAATCATATTCAAAGATGTTATATTTTGCTTTCTATTGCAATAAAAGAACAGTTTACACAGATATTATTACAACGAAAAGACTACACCGACTGTGAGAATTATGCTGCTACATGAACAATTTATATTAACTTATCAGAAATACGTCATCACATAATCTTATTTTATTATTTATTTTAACGTATTAAAGATTTTATTGTAAAAATTATAACTTATCTGGAACACGTACACATAATCTTATCTTATGATTCATTTAACGTAAGATATAAAATTTGTTTATGCCAAATATTGCGACATTGGTATTCGCAAGATTCAATTAAAAAATAATTTTATTATAAAATATAATTGTTTTTAATTTTTATAGAAGAAATTAAATATTAAAGAAATAATAAGAAAGCAGGGGGTATATTTAAAAAATTCTTATTAATTATATTTAAAAATTTTTTTTTAAATCTAAATATACACAATACGCAGTTATAAATACATAGAAAACATAAATAAGAATTATACAAAAACATTTTTTATATATTTTATTGTTCGACGGTAATTACTTACGCACATAGCACGGATGAGCGTATATACGGGAGCGTTTATAATTAATTTTCGAAAATGATATTTCGTAACATAACTTTATTACACATGGTTGAATTTGGAAAAAAATAAGCTTTAAATTAGGTAAAACAAAATTTTTAATTTTGAAAAAAAAAATTAGGTGGTGAGGGTTTTTAAAAAAAAAAAAAAAAAAAAAAAATTTTTGTTCATATAACTTTAAAGTACTCTTCAAGCCATTAAAATTTGTTGTACGTTTTTTCTTTATATCTCTTATAGTTTAGCAGATATTTGATCCTAAAGAAAAATACCGTTATTCTTTAAAGGGGTGTTTCACCCCTTAAAACTCAAATTGCGCACGTATAAAAAAATACGTGTCTTTTAGATTTGTGTATTTAACAACATATTTCAAGGAGAATCAAATCGGTTCCGGACAGTTGTGACATGTCCCTTGTAAGAACAGCATAATCTTCGCGAAATCCACACCAGTCTGTTATCCCATGCTTCAATGCAGAAGTTGTTACTTGCTTGTTCAACGTCTTGTATCTTTCAGCTAAACCGGTAGCTACCTGAAGACTCCGACCAAAAGATTCAATTAAAAAAAATGAAATTGAAAATAATAAAATTGATTAAATAAAAAAACATTTTTTAAACAATAGAAATTTTATTACCAACATGATGAAAACATCAGTAAAGTTCCATGTAAAACTTGACACTTGGTTAATGATAAAAATGAAAATGCCGAGTGCAAGGTTGTAACTTACTGAAAATAAAAATTACATTGATATTTCTTAAATATTCGAAATTTTTTAAATCTAAAAGAGACAAAAGACGAAAATAACAATTTTAGAATAAAATTTTAGAATAAATAAATATAAAATATAAGTTGCAACAATTTTATTTTACAAAAATAATTTAAACAGAATTGTCAAAAATTGTAAAAAAAAGTAAATTTCATGATCTAGTATTTATGATCTAAATTAAATCTAATATTTTTTATGTATGGATTATATATCTTCGACTCAATATTAAATATATTTCTTATTTCCACGATTAGAATAATTAAATAATTTTTATGAATGATACTTTTAAATTAATAATACTTAATAGATTATTATATATATAAATTTATATAACACAACGCTTACATTGCTCTATAATAAACGCATGTGAAGACATGCAATATATTTCCAAGAAATGTTCAAATGTCGTATTCTTCAAATTGTCATTCCAATAAAATTTCTCCGTGTTCATTGCTATATTCAGGATATCTACGACAAGAGCCCAAAATAAAATAGTAGCAGTTATCAAATAAAATTTCCAACGAAGTTTCGGTCGTTCCACTTTATTACTGTAAAACCGAAAGATTTTGCTACAAATACATTATACTATCAAATTTTGTAAAGCAACATAAAACTTAATTAATTAAAAAATAATATTATTTATTATAATTTTTAATAAGAAGTAATCGATTCTTATTCAAACTCTTCTAAAATAGGAATAATTTTGCAGGGGACTGTGGTTTTTAAATATTTACACCGATATAAAGATTGCAACTGATGATATCTCGATGATGTTAGACTTTTAATGCTACAGACGGCTTTGATGAGTCATGCATTTCAATATTATTATGTACTGTAGATAAGGTAATAAAAATTGAATTATTACTAAGGCAAAATAATATATTCCTATATTATAATTTGCTTCAAAATTATTTTCGACTTTTTTCAAGTTTGTTTATCGATCAGTTAATTGTGAAACAATTTTCAGTTTTTCTTCAAATATTTGTATTAATATTTATAAACTAATATCAATAACCTGTCTATAAATTGTTCCATAGCTCTCCAATCGCGTTGAAGAGTTACCCAACGCGGTGATAGCCAGAAAAATATCATCAAGCCCATTACGTTATTCCCATAAAACACTACAGCTGCTATTCCTCCTAAAATTCAATTGCATATTTAAGAATTTAGAGTTTGTGAAAAAAAAATTGTGCATCGAAGAATTAATATGTGCATAAAAATAAGTAATCTTTTCTTTAGTTCCACAATTATGAAATTTTAATTTCAAAAGAATGATTTTTTTATCCTCGAAAATATAAAATAAAGAAGAATCTATTTCATATTATTTGTTTTTTAGTTTATCTTGTTTAGTCCGTAGTTTATTTTCTCATTCCTAGATAGAGACTGATCTGTTAAATTGCAATTAATTTTAATTAATGTTTATTTATAAGAATTATTCTTGTACTTCTATTCTCGCTTTAATATGTATATAATAAACGTATGTCACTTTCTGGATAAGATAGATCCGGTACGTGCACACACAAAGCATATGAAAAATCCCTGCTTACCATGTATTTCAAAAGTTGAGGAGTCTAGTGTTTTTATCACGTGCATAATCGCCAATATTGGCATAACAAGTATCATGACAATTATAGAAACGGCATAGAGAGTACGAAATGAAAAAATTGCAAATTTTAATTTCAAGGGGTCGATGCGCTTATTCCCGAGACTGGCAAAATTCCGAATAATTGGGCAAACCCTAAAATAGGCCCTATTGCACATTGGAAGCTATCTGGATTCTGCAAAAGAATTTTCTCTGCCGATATGGTTTTTACATAAGTATGGATTTAATATATTTTATATAATGATAATATAACTACATTAGCCGCCATATACACATATAACAATAAGAAATGATCTGACCTTTCAAACTTTATTTAGATATTGTTGATATTGATACTTTTCTTAGAGTTTTGTTTTATTTTATTTCCTGAAAGTCTTCATATTTTTTATAGATATATACTTTTTTTTCTTCTAAAGCACTTCTAGAGCACATATTTCGTAATGTATAAACAAGTAGCGAATTTTCTTAGTATACTTACATTACTGTTCACAGATACAGTTCGAGAATTTTCGTTGATTAAACCACTGCGAAGAAAAGGTCGCACTCTCGGCAGACTCGGAGGATGCGATTCCGTAAATTGAGTATCCATTCTTTTCGTCTTGTCTTTTCTGTGACGTATTAAGAATAGTACGTTCTTCCGGAAAGTCGCACTATGTGTCTCTTTAGAACTGGCAGTGAATAATCGTTGTGTTTTCAACATTATGCCGTTTCTTCATTAATGTTTAAGAAAAGAACTATTCCGATGAGAAATTCCTGATAGATAATTGAATCAATTATATATTTTATCAAGATAAATATAATACATTAAGTGTATTGTCTTTGATCTTTGGGGATGATAAATGAAACACGTTGCTTTTTTTGCATGATAGGCGTTTATGTAATATGTTTGAGTGAGATAAATGCATCTATTAGTATAAAAATAATATTAGTATAAATAAAAAATATCAATACCTGTGTTATCTAGTAATGTCTAATCAATGACTGTGTTGTCTAGTAATTATACAAATCGATTTTATACCGATAGCATGTGCTATTGATCTGTCTACATACATTAGCCAAGATACGAATTTAAATTCGATGGGAAAAGAAATTGTACATGTATTTAATTACGTAAAAATAATTATTACTTCCCAGCAAACACAAATGTTACAGTAACATAACATAGATGTAATAGTTATGTTACAATGTAACATTTACAGCTATGTTATGTTACTGTAACATTTGTGTTTGCTGAGTTATTATATAAATTAATTTTATACCGATTGCGCACATGCTTGTCGATCTGTGTATATATATATATATATTTACAATAACCGAGACCACGAATTTAAATTCAATCGAAAAGAAATTATACATATATAATTATTTAAAAATATGTATAAGTATACAATAGAATATATGTTCTTTTATTTATATACATATACTTTCTCATTTATACTTTACAAAAATTAGAACAAAACAAGCGCGCGCTACGCGCGCGACATTTACTTTATATATATATTTATATACACATACACAATAAATATATATAACATATTTTTTCTCTTTAAATTGTTCTAATTAATATTTCAATAAATAGTTATTATAGAATAATTAATGTTGATATGCAACAAAAATTCTATGTAAGTATATATATATATATATATATATATATATATATATATATATACTAGCTTTTCGGACCGCGCTTCGCGCGGTCCTCATATGGCCTATATTACAATAAATCCGTTTTAACACAAAAAATTAATTCTTTTTTTGTATTACCGCGAACTACTTCCACATTTAATTAATTTTAATTAATTTTTCGTTTCGTTTCCTTGGCTCTATTGCCCGGCTTAGAAGGCAGCATACTTATATTCTTTATATTGAGAGCCGATAAAAATATTTATTTCTGAGTTTACTTCCACATTTGTTGTCCGACTTTCACGAAATTTATATCAAAATAAATGTTTAAATTTTTTTTGGATGACTACTATGTTATCTATTTCTTTCTCCCAGATATTTTATTTTACACCGCGTTTTGCATATATTTAAATATTTATTATATATTTTTATTTTTATTTTCTTGTTTATTTTAATTTCCACACAATTTCATATTTTTTAAATATAAAACATTATTTTAGTTAATATATACTTTAAATATTTTTTTTATTATTTAATTATTATATCCTTTTTTACATTTTACTCAATTTTTTTTATTTCTAATGTACCCACCGCTAACCCGCTATTATTAGCTCTCATACAATGTCATAATTCTTCAATTTACAAAATTTCCCTGTATATTACATTTTTTGTAAAACATTTTTCACTTTCTTCAATTAAATGTCCTTGATTGCTACATTCATCAATTTTAATTTTTACACTTTCTCTTTTTGTTGCTCTAGAAAATGCCACATAAAGTTGACCATGAGCAAATACAGGATGTGGCAAATAAATTCCAATTTTTTCTAAACTTTGTCCTTGTGATTTATTTATTGTCATAGCAAATGACACTCGAATAGGAAACTGTCTTCGTTTAAACTTAAATGGCAGTTCCAAATCATTTGTAATTAAATCTATCCTCGGAATCATAACAATTTGTCCTCGAGCAGGACCTGTTATAACTTCTACATAAATTATATTATTTTTCAAATTAGTTATAATAAATCTTGTACCATTACAAAGTCCTTTTTTAGTATTTAAATTTCTTAATAAGATTACTGTAGCACCAACTTTTATTTTAAGCCGATGAACTGGCATTCCAGAAGGTGTCAGTGAGAAACTCAGTTGGAAAATTTAATTGCTCCTGTGGATCATCACTTACAATACAGTCAATAGAGAGATACTCCTTTTCTTCTCCTTCCATTAGACAAAGAATTTCATCATTAATTTTGAAAGTATCCTCATTTTTAGGACAAAGAATCGCTCGATCTTGATTTTCTCTAATCCTTTTCATGGTAATTCTATCACCAAAAATCTCATTAATAAGAGATTCTTTTGATATAAAATCTTGTGGAATTTTAATCGTGTCTAGATTTAGTCCATCTGTATTTGATAATTTACCATCTCCGAGTTGCATTAACCAATTTGCAAATTCTTTTTCTTCCGCAGTTCTCATATTTTGCTGTAATTTAACCTTAATTACATTCCTCCATATAGGGTTGTATTTTACAGTCGATTCAATTATCGCTGTTTTGTGTAAATGAGGTACTACTGGAAGATTTTGTCTGAAATCTCCTGCAAATAAAATTACTTTTCCTCCAAATGGTTGATCATTCTTCATTAAATCCTTTAAAAGTTTATCAACTGCTGTTAAGGCATGTCCAACAGTCATGCTCACTTCATCCCATATGATTAATTTTGCATTGATCAATTCTCGTGCAGCTTGAGAATTTCCTCTAATATTTGATTTAGCTGCATCATCAATTGGAATTGTAAGCTTAAACAGAGAATGATAAGTTCTTCCTCCTTTCAGAAGTGTGGCTGCAATTCCAGTTGAAGCACATGGAAGAATTATTTCATTTCTTCCTCGAATAACACTTAGAAATGTGTTAAATAAATAGGTTTTACCACTTCCTGCAAACCCGTCAATAAAAAACAAACGCTTAGGTTCATTTTCATTTTCAATTGCTCGCATTACTATATCATACACGTATTTTTGTTCATCATTTAGTGTAGATAATAAATAATCACCACGTATTTTTTCTTCATCTACATTATACTCTGTTTCGTAAATATTTATTTCAGTTGGATTTGGTAATTGAAATTTCTCACAACTACTTCCATTATTTATCAGAATTTGTTGTATATGGTTTAACGCCATATTTTCGGGATTTACAACATTATTATTTACAAAGTCCTCAATCATAAAATCTTTGTATTTATTCCAAATTGTTGGTACATCTATTGGATTTCCAAAGATGCAAATGTAAGCAAATAATTCTCGAAGTTGTGCAGGCATATTCGATTCTGTTGCTTCCTCCATCGTTTTTCCCCAAAAGTCATCAGTCTCTACTAAATTTTTTGCAATTGCTGCATCCTTAAACGTATTATAAATAATTCCATTTACATTTCTCAAATCTTCAAAACATTTTGCTCCAGTCACATGTAGTAGAAGAAGACGGAGATAAAATCTTTCAATATCTTTTATGCTTACTGTATATAGTCTTGAAATTATTTTTTCACCACCTTTTTTACGTGGCTTCCACTTAGTTTCTTTTTTATTATAAACATAATGATAAGGAATATCTGTATAAAGATAATTTGCTGCATTTTCATCATATTGATTTAATTTGAACCATGCAGTCAGCGTAGTATCTCGATTTAGCTCTCTTTGAGCAGCTTGTTCTTCATTTCCTGCTCGAAAATAAACCATTTGGCGATCAGGCAAATGAACTGCCAATCTTATTACTGTATGAGATTTCATGAACAGATCATATCCATTAAGTCTCCACATTGCTTCTGGAGCACTAACATATCTTGCATCCATGAATGAGTTAACCTCATCTATTCTAATGAATCTTGTACCATCTCGTGCTTGCACTTCAATTGCAGCACAATCAAATCCTTTATGAATATATTTATATAGATATTTTACGCTCTTCACTGATGAACATATTTCTAAATTAATATGTCGATTATATTTCATGATTAAATATGGTGAATACGGCACCACCCATCGATTATCCACTTCTTTATTTCTAACAATGTATTTTATTCCAATATCCCTACGTTGATAGATGGGATATCCATTTACATTAGCATTAGTTTTATCACTAAATTCTTTTGGAAATCCTTTTGAACATTTTCCATCGTCCCCAGTGCAAGGATATCTCCTCGAGGGATCTCCACATGGACCGTGAATCATGTGTTTCAAAACTTTTTCATTAAGTTCTGAATATTTTTCTTCATTAGGAATTTCAGCCCATACCATCATATCAATGACTTCTTGAAGTCGGGGCTTATCTTCATCGCTCAACATTGCAAGTAAATGCAAATGTGGAAGTCCTCTTTTTTGAAATTCAATCACACCTGCATAAGCTATAATATTTCCAAAAATTTTATTTTGAATTAAATCCTTTAAAATCTCTTTGACATCCAAATTAAATGTTTTAGCGACTAAATCAGGTCGAAACTCTATTTGACATCCATCAAGATTATCCTTAATTTCAGGACATTGAGGATTGCAAGTCATGGTTAGAAAAATGTCTGGTTTACCATACTTTCTTACCAAAGACATAGCATCTTGGTATCTTTCTTGCATGTTCCTTGGACTGCCCATAAATGAAGATGGTAATATTACAGGTACACCAACTGTAATTCCCTCATTTTGTGCTCGATTATCAAGGTGATCCATTAATCCTGAATAAAGTTCTGCTCTTAATTGAGGTTGATTTAATTTAATATAATTAAGTCTATTGGCTTCAGTTTTCATATAGGCATCAAGTATAAATTGACATCTCAATTTGCCTGCTCTTTTAAATTGGCTAAATTCGGCTCTTGGTGCCAGCAGATGAGCATAATAATCCATTTGAGTTACTTTAAATCCTGAATATTTAGAATTATAAGATTTCATTTCTGAATGCCATCCATCGTTACCATATGGATATAACAAAGGATAACACATTGGGTCACACCTTTTGTCCAGAATTGATATTTGTTGAACATCGTTTGAATTTTTATTATAAATCCGAATGTCTCTTTCAAATGGAGGCTCACCATCTACATTCTGAAAGACCACAGCTATTTCA